CCCGGCTGTGTCTCACCCCAAATCCCTGCTAGAGCACGGCTGTGTCTCACCCCAAATCCCTGCTAGAGCACGGCTGTGTCTCACCCTAAATCCCTGCTAGAACCCGGCTGTGTGTAACCCCAAATCCCTGCTAGAGCACGGCTGTGTCTCACCCTAAATCCCTGCTAGAACCTGGCTGTGTCTCACCCCAAATCCCCTCAGAGCCCCTGCCAGAACCCGGCTGTGCCTCACCCCAAATCCCTGCCAGAACCCGGCTGTGTCTCATCCGAAATCCCTGCTAGAACCCGGCTGTGTCTCACCCTAATTCCCCTCAGAGCCCCTGCTAGAGCCCGGCCGTGCCTCACCCCAAATCCCCTCAGAGCCCGGCCGTGCCCCAGCCCCAACCCCGCAGCACAGCCCGGCCGTGCCCCAGCCCCAACCCCGCACAGCCCGGCCGTGCCCCAGCCCCAACCCCGCAGCACAGCCCCGCTCCCCGCTGCTCTCCCCGCCCGGCTCCGGGGCGGGCCGGGGGAAGCCGCGCCCCGCTCCCGTCACGGCGGGGGCCGGGCCGGGCCGGGCAGGAGGCGCGGAGCTCCGGGCCATGGTGGGGATCCCGGGGAGCTGCCAGTGTAAGAGCCGGGCTCGGGGCGCGGGCGGGAGCAGCGCCGGGCGGGGAGCGGGGCAGGGCCGCGGAGGGGAGCCGCGCTTTGTGTCGCGCCTGTAATTCCGCCTCTGAGTCCTGTGAGGCTCTCTGACCCGCAGCGCGGGCCTGGGGACCCCCGGCCGCCAGCCCAGCCCCGCAGGGCCGGGTTCGTGCGGGATTTCCGGGCTTTGGAAGGATGGCCGGCGGTGCCCGAGCTCGGCGCTGCAGCCCAGGCGGGCTCGCACCCTCCCGGCGCTTCCCACATCGCCAGCCCAGCACCCCAGCGCGTCCGTGAAGTGTCTGGGAGGCTTTGTGGAAATACCCGCAGTGAAATACCCACGGCAGAGCTGGGCACGAGTGTTTCCCCGCTGCAAGCGAGCTGGCAGCCGTGTGTGCGAGTTCTGTGCACAGAAATCCTGCTGGGAGCAGCACTCTCCTGCGCGGAGCTGGCAGGGTGGGCGTCTTCAGCTCCATGTGCGTGAATTTCCCCAAAATCCTGGGTTTGTTGCCAGAAGTGCTGTGCCCTGAGGCTGGCGGGACAGCACGTGGTGCCTCTCGCCGTTTTCCAGCCTCCTGAGCGTTCCTGTGGCCTGTGCGCGTTTGCCCACAGTTGGGATGGGAATGGAGCCATCCCGGGATGAGGAGCGAGGTGCCGGGATGTCTGGGTGTAGCGATGTCCATCGCACATGGGCCGGGTCACGGCCTCGAGGTGACTCTGTGGGTAAGTCATTGCTCGGGAGAGGGAGAAAAGCAGTTAAAAGCACATCCCATCAGGAAATTCAGGAATTTTGAAATGAAGTGCGATTGCTCATAGGGAAGCAGTGTAAAGATAGGTGCTGATGCTAATGTAGAAACCACTCTGAAAGCTGCATTCCCGATATGGAGAAGGAATTACCAAGTGACAGAAGTTGGTTTTATACTTTATGGTGCTGCTTGGGGCAGAATGGGTGGAGATGCTGGGGTGAGGCTGTTACCCCTTAAGGCAGCTGGAAATAAATGAGTCTGTCAAGGCGTGAGGACTTGAGCCAGCCAGTGTCCCAGGTGCCTGGAGAGCACCGTGGTGGCAGAGCCGTGTCCATGTGGCTTTGGAGAGCACGGGCACCTGGCTCCTGACCTGCATTTTGTCAGCCCTGCAGAAAAGGCCCCACAGAAGGAGCTTGGCTGACATCATGTGCTTTAACCCTGCTGCCTGAAGTCTGTGCCCAATCTCTTTTCCCCAGGCTCCCTTTGAAGTCACGTTGGAGAAACAGGCACTGCTGAGGGTGATTCATCCCTCCAGTCTTGGACACGTCTCTCTGAATGAGACAAATTTCTCACTGGAAGTGCCTGGGCTTTTTCATTGACTGCAGGGAGAATCCAGGAGAGCTGGTTTAGGCTTTGGCAGTGAGGAGCTGGATGAAACAAATCCCGCCCAGTGTGTCTGCTCGTGGTGCAGCTCAGTGGTATGTGCAGAGAATGGTCAGATTCCCTGCTTCCCTTACACTGAGCACAGGGAGGAGAGTCAGACCTTCGAAATCCTGCTGAAAATATTTGAAGCTAAGGGAGACAGGGATCTTGTGCCTCCATCATAGCTTCAGGGTGGGTACGTGAAACCAGTTCCTCTCAGCTGTGACACTTTTTGCAACACGGGACAAGTTGTTTGAATATTTTGTTGGATTGTGGCAGGAATGTGTGGATGTGTATGTGGCTGTTCAGTTTTGCAATATTAAACCATGTCTGAAATTAGGAAGAAATTCCTTCCTGGGAGGGTGGGCAAGCCCTGGCACAGGGTGCCCAGAGAAGCTCTGGCTGCCTCTGGATCCCTGGCAGTGTCCAAGGCCAGGCTGGACAGGGCTTGGAGCAGCCTGGGACAGTGGAAGGTGTGTGTGCCTGCCCATGGCAGGGGGTGGAACAAGGTGGTCTTTCAGGTTCCTTGCAGCCCAAACCAGTCTGTTATTCTGTGATTAGGGCTTTTCATCTGGGACCTGCTGGCAGAACTGAGCAAGCAATTGCTGACCCTATGGCAGCAGGGACAGCAAGGCCATAGCCCCTGGCAGGAGAGGGTGAGGGCACCTGGAATGCTTGGAGTGACTCAGTGGGAGATAAAGTGTACTTTCTTATTCAGTTTAATGTGTCTGTGGCCCAGCATCCATTGGGGAATGCAAAGGATAAGCCTGGTGAGCCATGCAGCTGCTTTATAGAGATAAGCACATAGATATGGCTTTGTAGATAGATCAGGTAAGGATGCCCTGTTAGTGCCAGCTATTGGACAGTGTGAACACTTGCACGAGACATCACTCGATTTTTGGGCCCAGTGTCAGCCCAAGAACACGGTTGGGGTTTATCAAAAAAGTGAATAATCAGACTCATAATGTTTATAAATCTAATTATCTGCATAGCCTAACGATTTCTGATTTTTACAGATCCTGGCAATGTCAGGAGGTTGCTTGATTACTTTGGGTATGTGTTACAGGGAAGTGGATCAGTGCTCAGTGTGAAACTAACAATGGGGAAGGAAAGAAGAAATGTGGGACTGCTTTGAAACTTCGGAATATTCTTTTGGAATATTCCATGTTCGTTTAAGGTACATGCTGGCTCTCATGAATATGCTCTTCTTATGTGGATATTTCCAATGGCCAGAAATTGAAATGGATCATTCAAGGACTTAGTCTTGATTTTCATATGTTGTAAAATGAAAGGCTTTAGGTATTCCTCTTGCTTTGTGCCAGTGTTCAGGACAGTGAAATAAATTGACATTTTAAAGCAGTCAGAGAAAAGAAAAAGGGTTTTTTGATTTACTGGTGCTCTGAGGATTGAAAGGAGTTTGTACTTGGGGGAGAGCCTGTGGAGTTGACTCTGTTGGAAGCAGGACTGGAGTGGAATAGGCAGAGTGCTTTCCATCATCCTCAGCTGCCAAGGAGTCACAGGCACCTTGAAGGCTGCCATGAGCCACTGGAGAGGGGGAGAACTGCTCAGGTTTCCTTCTTGCTGGCAAGAATCAGAGGTGAACTCTTCCCCTTCAGAAGAAGGAGGTGGCTGTAAGACTCAGAAAGGTGAGAAGTGAATCCACCTCTCTGATGTAAAAAGTCCCATGGAACTTCTGGAAGGGTTTCCATCCATATTGGTGATTTACCTGGAACTCTTGCAGAAAACCACCTTCCTGAGAGCATTTGTCCAGCCAGTGTCTGCGGCTTAAAACTTCTCCATGTCCCTGTCACCTTCCCATCTCTTTGTGCCACATCCTGAGTATGTGCACACCCTTATTTGATTCAGCTACAGACATATCCTGGACCTCATTTTGGCTGTATTTGTGCACTCCAAGTTAATCAACCCTGACCTTGGAAGTCAATTAAAATGTCCTTTACTCCCTTTCATGAGAGAGCAGTACTAACTGCTACAGGTAACAACTTTTCTGGCACTCAGACTTCGAGGTCAAATTCTGCACATGTTTTCTTCAATGACGTGCTTTGCACACTTGGGATGATTTAAAGGATCAGACTGTTCAGGCAGGGATTTTCTCCAGTGTAGATTTATGTTGGTATTTAAGGTAGTCATTGCCAATAGCCCTCAGCCTTGGGTTGCAAGGCTGTTTTCACAAGATATGTGGCATGCTCTTGTCTTGGCTTTGGGGCCATAGCTGACACTTCAAAGCTTGCTAAAAAATATTTGAAAAATATTACAGAATTCTCTCATCACAGGTACGGTTTTGAATGGAAAATGCAGGATTAGCCTTTTTTTGCCTGTGGATATAAAATAATCAAATACTTAGTGAATGCTTCCAGACTTAATTGCCGTAAGATTGGACTCGATAGACACACCAGTTTGTTTGCATCAACACCAGCTTCTCCCTGCTTATCTGTACTTTTTAATCGTTATGATCTCTTGGGAGTTGGCTTTCACTTCCTAGCAGTGCACCTGGTTGCTGCAGCAGGAAGTTTCTCCAAATCTGTCACCTGACACGCTCCCACCTGGCCTTTGTGTGTGTTTGATCCCGCCTTTTCTGCCAGGAGGCAACAGGAGGAGGAGGAAAAGAGGGATAAAGCCATAAAGGAGGTAAAGTAAGGAGGCTGTATGTGTTTGGGGTGTGTGGGAGTGGGCTGGGGAGGGGTGGTTGGGTCGAGAGTGGTGAGCACACAAATGGGCCTGACAGCTCATTACATCCCTGCTATCTTTTGTTTGTCGGCAAAAAACAAATATTTGCTTTCTACTTTAAAGCTGTGCATCCTGCCTGCGGAGCCTCTCCGGATCTGGCTGCAGGTGTTGGATCAAACAGAGGTGGAACAGTGGCTGTAGTGTGGGGTACAGCTGTAGGGTCACACATAGTCCTGGGCAGGCAGAACTCCTGGTTGTCTGCTTGGAGCACAGGCAGCTTCCTTTTCTTAGGTGGCTGTTGTGGTCTGCAGTATTTTTTGGCTGTATTCCCGAGAGCAAGCACTTCCCTGGGTCTTGGCTAAGCAGAAACTTAATTTAACACTTTTTCAAAGTATGGGGACAACTCAGCCTGCCTCAATTCCAGGTGCAGATGAGATTAATTTGCTTATCTTAGTTGAGGGCAGGTAGTTGTGCAGGGAGGTACCAGAGTCGGGATGTTAAAACACAAAGAAGTCAAATGTTCCTCTGTTCCTCCCCCGTTATGCGAGCTCGTTTGCATTAAAACACCCGTCTGGCAGATCTGCTGCAGGAGCCTTCCCTGCATCTCCTCCTCCTCCTTCATGACTAGTTTTGTTGGGGGCCAAGAAGCCACCGATGAATTGTGACTGGAAAGTGCTGAACTTTGAGGGGAGATGAAAAAAAAACCTCAAAACATTTGCAGCCCTGGCAGCGGGTCCACGGATCGCTGATGGGGTTTATCTTCTGACATCATGAGGATCTCTGACATTTCTAGCTTAGAAACAATAACTTGCCTTATCCGTCGTCATGTTTTTCTAATTAAAGACAAAGCTTGGTAAATATTTTTTAAATGATTGAATTTCCCAAGTATGGAAAACACATGTCGGGAGTCAGGCT